TTCGGGAGAAGAGGCCGGAGGGAATATTGGATGGAGGGATTGCGGGGAGATGCGTAATTACGCGTGTGTTCTTTTCTTTGGGGGAAGAAAAAAGAGCGAAAAGCAATTCTTGTAAACTTAGTTAAAGCATTCTCACCCTTTTAGAATTTAATTAGGGGACTTGTGCATTAATTACTATTGTAAATGGTTGCAGGCATTGTGTGACTCATGATTGAGGCGGCCCTTATGGCGGGCTGTCAAACTGTTTTGGCTTCCCCGTTATTACTTTGTAACTCAAATTGTTGCCTTTATAAGAAGATACTATGTTCGCATTTTCCCTCCCCAGCACATTGTAGTCAGGCAGATTCTGTTGCACTGGGAACGGTTTTGCCCTTGAACTTTACTGAGCATAAACTGCGTTTTGTTTTCTTTTGAAACTACATTTGTGTCTATGTTCGGTGTGTGCTCTTTTTTATCAACTGGTAAAATAATTAAAAAATCTGTTCCCAATAAGTGGTTATCGTTTCTACTGGGCCTGAGTGTTTTTGCACTGGTAACTTAAATCATCACCACAAAGGGAGTTTTTTGGTTTTTAAACGTTGCCTTTATGGAAACGTTTAGCTTTAGTGAGCTGTAATTGCTTAGAGCATCAGAGTGTTGCACCGTATTTAACTCTTTTTCAAATTCATTTTCTTATGGTCTTTTCTTTATTGGCCGTTTTCTTTTGAATCATATCGGGAGACTCAGAGAAACTTCTAGATGAACCTTATCAGTGAGCTGCTTTCTTTTTCACTTGGACAGGATAAAATAAAATCTCTCCTATTTCAGGTCTTAATGTAGTTTGTCCTTGACGATTGTAAGTTTTAGGTTTATGGTGAGGTTAAATAACAGTTCAAATCATATGAATATTTTTCACCATATAAAATCATCCCAAATTGCTGGTCTTTGAGTTTTATAGATATTAATCTGTTAAGGTGATAGTTCAAAATCTTTTCAGTGGGTGAAGGATGGACATCATTGGCTTACCGAATAAGAGATTTTCTTATAATTATCATTTCTTATAATTTTAGGGACTGGTTCAAGGAAATTAAGCCTGACATCACTGATTAAACAACTGTTCTTTGGACATTTAATAAGTTTTGTTGTCAAAAGTTTAAAAAAAATTGTTAAGATATGAGACCATTAAAGAAAACAGGTTGAATTTTCAGTAGCAGAAAGGAGCTTGCTGTCTGTTTCTCCTCCCATTTTTGTTTTGTCAGGTAACTATATCAGTATAATTTCTATGGAGGTTTTCTGGGGCTTAATTAAAAATTGCCTCTACCGCAGGTATAATTTTCATTATCTATTATAGTTGTAGAGAACTTAAGAGTCTCTATATGGGTTATGTATCAGAGTTTGAATCCCAGCCCTGCCACTTACAATATGACCTTGACTTTTGGCAAATCACTTAGCTGCTTTGTGTGTAATCTATAAAACGAGAGGTTTGGGCCAGTCAGTTCCTAAGGTGTGTGAGCCCCCTTGGGTTGTATAAAAAGGAGTTAAATGTCATCTCTGGCCACAGAGAGCATGTACAATCTGGTAGGAAGACTGTCATATGTCCATAAATAACTAATACAAGGTAGACGGTGTAGAGGTTAAGTTACCATGTCATTCCATATTTGAGGATGGCTCTACAGTAGGTCATCAGGCATGAAAAGGAAGAACAATTACTAGGAGGTTACAAGGCAGCCCATCAAGACTGTGAGAGGGTAGTGTTGCCTAAAGGTTAAAAGGTTCCAAAAAGGGAGAGGTGTGATTAGGTGGGCAAATGCTTTCCTTCTACTCCGTCTCTAGCTCTCTGCTTCCTTTTTTCCAAATAAGGAGAGTGTGTATGTCTTGAAGCATTTATGCTTTCCCCAGGAAATCAAGGCATTATTCTGTATTCCTTTAGCAAATATTTCTTGAGCATCTTCTGTGTTCCAAATGCAAGGCTAGGCACTTGGGAGGGGAAGAGCAGAAGTAGCTAAATGTACTGAATGCTTACTGTCTGCCTGGCGCATTCTTCTGAAGACTTGCATGGACTCATCCGATCCCTGGATCACTGTGTGAGGTAGGTACTATTATTCCTGTTTTACACATGATGACTTTGAGGCACAAAGAGGTTAAGTAACTTTCAGGAAGCCACATCACTGGTATGGGAGGAGCTGTCAGGCTTCGGATCATGTTGTATCGTCTCTTACTAGAGCCATGGTTCTTCATCTTGAAAAATTTGAAAATATCTTTGAGGAGGCAGAACCCACAGGTACATTCGATACTGTTAGATCAGAGTTTCTTAACCTGGGCTCTGTTGACGTTTTGGACCAGAGAATTTATTATTGTGAGGTCTGCCCTGTGCCTTGTGGGATGGTCAGCAGCATCTGCTTGTAGCACTCCCCACCCAGTCGTGACATTCAGAAATGTCTTTAGATATTGCTAAATGTTTTCTGGGGCGCAAAATCACCCCGAGTTGAGAACTGTCATTCTAGATCTTCATATTCCCTGAAGATAACCAAACGTATGAACTTTTAATGTTAAATAATGTTAAATTAATTTTTACATCTTTAATACCATGGAAGTCCAAATCCTATTGTGTGGGCCCCTAGTTTGAACCCTCTAGCTTCTGAATGTCAGTGTTGTGTTGCCATTCTCCTTTCCCTCTGCTAAGTGGCAAATTTTTTTTTTTTTTAAGATTTTATTTATTTGAGAGAGACAAAGTAAGTGAGAGAGAGCACAAGTGGGCATGAAGCAGAGGGAGGAGAAGAGGGAGAAGCAGACTCCCCGCTGAGCAGGGAGCCTGATGCGGGACTCGATCCCAGGATTCTGAGATCATGACCTGAGCCGAAGGCAGACGCTTGACCGACTCAGCCACCCAGGTGCCCCAGTGGCAAATCTTCAAGACAGTGTGCCAGGTAGCCGGTGCCAGTTAAACAAAATCGGCACAAGAGAAATTTAGTTTACTACCTGGGGTAAACTATATTTCTTAATTCACTGTTGGCCATTAAAATTGTCACTTTATGTCAGTATCATGGGCATTCAAATGAGGGAACTGTAATGTCTAGATGGGGGTGGTCACCATTGGAACTGAACTTTATTATTATTTTTTAAAATATTTATTTATTTGAGACAGCGCACAAGCATTAGGGGGCGCAGAGGGAGAGGGAGAAGCAGGTTCCCCACTGAGCAGGGAGCCTGATGCGGGGCTCGATCCCAGGACCCTGGGGTCATGACCTGAGCTGAAGGCAGACGCTTAACCGACTGAGCCACCCAGCCGCCTCTAGAACTGAACTTTTAAAGTATGAAGTCAATTTTGAAAGGCAGAGAAAAGGGCAGTGTAAAAACAACAGAACTAATGGCACAAAATCCAGGACGTACGGGGAGTTTTGAAATAGCAGTGGGTGGTTTGGTTGGATTGGCGCCGAAGAGCAGGGGCAGACGCAGAGGTTCTTGACTATTAAGTTGGGGACTTCTGGCATAGATCTTTTCGGTAGTATGGAGCTATTTATTACATGCTGTTGGGTAGGGTAGTGTGATATAGAATAAGGCAGGTGTTGATGAAGACCTGAATTACAGTGGTGGGACAAAAGAGCTGAGAGTGGGAGACACTGAGGAAGTGGAATCTGGGATTTGGCAGCTAACTAAGCTGGGATTAGTTGTGAGAGGGGGCTAAACACCATCTTGGGTGAATGGGAGATTGACCCAGCCTCTGAACAGAAGAGAGGTCAGAACAGAAATAGGAGTTTGGTGAGAGAAGATGGTAAGTTACATTTTCTAGTTGTAAAAAAAATCTAAGGCAACTGATATAATTTTAAAAAATTATTTTGGGGGCCAGAGCCATAGAATCATTCAGTGTTTAGAGAGAGACTGACCAGTATTCTGATCTCTTCCATTTTACAAATGAGAAAGCTATGGTTAAGACAGATCCAGTAACTTAGTCAGTGTTCTCTCAAGTGACAGAGTTGGGATTCCAGTGGGCCTTTTGACTCTAACTACTGAGGTCTTAAAAATGTGCAATATTTTAAAGATTTTTTTTTTTTTATTTATTTATTGAGAGAGAGAGAGAATGGTAGAGAGAGAGCATGAGATGGAGGAAGGTCAGAGGGAGAAGCAGACTCCCTGCTGAGCAGGGAGCCTGACGCGGGACTCGATCCTGGGACCCCAGGATCATGACCTGAGCTGAAGGCAGTCGCTTAACCAACTGAGCCACCCAGGCGCCCCAAAAATGTGCAATATTTTATACGCACGATAGAAAAACAACTTTGGTTTCTCCTTTCTTTCTGAAAATGTAAGAACATTTATCTCAATGTATTTTGTTCCATTTTAGTAATTAATTTATTACTATAATGTAGGGTAGATTGTCTAACAAAAATGTTACGCACTTCATGTTAGCTGATTTTCCCCCCAGACCAACTCTTAGAACACCATCATTTAAGAAAAATTGTTAAAGATGCTGTAATGCCACATAATGCAGCATCTAAACTGGGACATTGTTGTCTGAGGCACTTTTGCCTGGGACAGG